GGGAGTCGGGGGGGGGGTGGTGGGGTGGAGAAGGGTGGCTTGCGGGAGATGTGGGAAGGAACTGTTGGCGGGGAACCTCGCAAGGCACCAGCGAGACTCGTGCTGGGTGTGGGACCCGGGAGGGGGGGCAAGTCCCTGACGGGGGCCGACTGCCCAGGATCGGATCGGACCAGTTTGGATAGGATCAGGAATGAGTGCATGAGAGGGACAACTCATGTCAGAGGTTTTGGAGAGAAAGTCAGAGAGGCCAGACTGAGATGGTTTGGACCTGTCCAGAGGAAAGAGAGTGAATGTATTGGAAGAATTATGCTGAGTCTTGAACTGCCAGGCAGGAGACCGTGAGGAAGACCAAAGAGGAGGTTTATGGATGTAGTGAAAGAGGACATGAAGGTAGCTGGTGTGAGGGAATAGGATGCACAAAACAGGGTTAAATGGAGGCAACTGATTCGCTGTGGTGGCCCCTGAAGGGAAAAGCTGAATGGAAAAGACCGTATTTTCTGCACTATACAGCGCTTCGGAGTACAAGGTGCACCTTCAGTGAATGGCCTATTTTAAAACAGTTTTCATATGAAGGGAATTCTAGGAGTCTTTTTGTTTTCTCTCGTGCCCAGTGACATTCATTAGTTTTCTTTTGACAAATGTAGTTTTATATGTCAAAAGAATAGTAGGCATAGTTTATAGATCAATGACCATTCCAGTGTTGGGGAAGATTGGAAAGGGGTTGTAAGAAGTAGAAAGATCGGGGTTGGAGCATCTGTTTGTTCACAGGGGCAGAGAACGAAGGCGGTGAGCCATGGAAGGCCCACGGATCCGGAATATGATGATGACGACCCGAATGGTGCAGGAAAACCTTCCCGGCAGATGATGTTCATCCGGTCTTCTTGTATTGGGATACGATTGTTTTTGTGGGGATCAGCAGTGGCTTCTGCCTTGGAACTCTGACTTTGATGCTACTTTTGCCCAGTCTCTTACTTTAGTGCTCTGTCATAAACACTGATCTTCTATTTAAGTGATTTCTTGATTTAACAGGCCTGAAAGTAATCAGGCTCTCTTTGTCTGATATCTACATTTATTTGATGATATTTTAAATGTTGACGTTGGAAAACTAAAAACAAACAAACAAAAAATAGGGCAAGTACTTTTTCACAGCACTGTATATCTAAATGTAGTGAACGAGTCTTCTGAAAGGAGGTTTCAAATCATACAGTTTCATTCAGTGTGAATTATATGACTGAAATATCAGATCGTTTTTTTCTTTGAAACTTACCTTCTGTATTGTAACAGCTGCCAATCATTAAAATACTCACAATGAAATTGAATTCAGTGGGGTATGTATGATCCCTAATTGTTCAAATTAGATGAAAATGTCCCATAATATAAGAGCTAACCGGATGAATACTGAGGTGTGTCAAGCTATACTGTACTCACAATCAGCCAAATGCCGACATCAGATTGATGACCTAAGTGTAGTGGGAGAGCGATTGAAGACTTTTTGACTGCAAAGAGAGTGAATATTTTTTAGTGGCCTAATCTCAAGCCAAAAGAGCAGAGTTACCAGGTCAGCAGGGCCCACAAAAAAGCAGAAACTGAAGGTGGTTGTGTAGAAGGTCTAGCAAAGTATTTTCATTAAGAAAACTCAAGACTCGTGTTGAATGAAGTTGGAATATTTCCATATATAGGGGGGGTGCATTCATCATGTCTGTGGGCTCCAGACTTCACTTTGTCATCAACTGCAACGAATTTTCATTTAATTATGATTATTATTAGAAATATAATTATGTTTATTGAGTGTGAGGGCAGTTGCTTGTTCATCTGTGTGTGCCCTGCGATAGGCTGGCAACCAGTTCAGGGTGTCCCCCGCCTACTGCCCAAAGACAGCTGGGATAGGCTCCAGCACGGCCGCGACCCTTGTGAGGAGGAAGCGGATTAGAAAATGGATGGATGGATGATTGTTTACAACCATGTCAATTGTCAAAATTCTGTACTACAGAGCACCTGCGATTCCATGTAGAGAATGTGCACTCTGCAGGAAACTGCTGTAATTCCTATATGTAAAATTTCAGATTTTTGGAAAGTCTACACTCCAGTCACAGTTGACTGTTTTGTTTCAAATTGAAGTGTGTCAAGACATAATCATAAGGGGTGTTCACACGGCACACATTTGCTCCGGCGCTGCACCGATGTATTTTGTTGTGATATATTTTACACCAGAGCAAATTTTGTGGGGCGGTCACGCGTACAAAGACGCTGAGCGTGTTAGCACCGGCGCAGCATCGGTGCAGCTCCACTTGCGGTCACACGGCAGTCTGCAATGGAGCAAAATGACAGAAAACAAATGAGCTGTCGTGTTGGTTCTTTTTAAAACGTATACACAACTCAAGCAACCACTGTACAGGCACGTCCTTCTCCTTCTCGGTCTCCGAGGCTTCTGCTCGAGAGTGACCGCCCCCGAAAACGTAAATCAACGATGACTTCGATGACACTCAGAAAAGCAAAAATGTAATGCGCCAAACAGAAAAATCAAAAGAGGAAATCACAAAATAAATTCTATGGGGGGCGGGGGTTGTGAATACACAACAAAGGAACAAACTACACAAACAACTCCGAGACAGTCAGTCTCCTACAAAAGGAAAGATGACGTTTGGGGACTAGTCCC